CTCTCTCTCTCTCTCTCTCTCTCTCTCTCTCTCTCTCTCTCTCTCTCTCTCTTCGTTCACCCTCTCTGCCGCCACCCTACGGCCCTCTCTTTCTCACCTTTATCGTGGCCCGTGTCTATCGCCTCCTCTATCTCCCTCGCTCTCTCGACTATCGATGCCATCTTCCTCCGATCCGATACGTTCCCGCAGTTTCTGTCCTCGTCCCACTCTCTATGTACCACCGCGGCGTAATACAGATTCTATTTGAGCTGCCTGAGGGAAGTTAACTCGTGATGCGTGCAGCTCGGCTCGCTCTGTTGGCGATACTACGGGGATCCGATCGTTCTCCATTTCGAGGCTGCAAATCCAAGGACCTAAACCTCGCGACCTGCACGCCTACACAAGCGGTGTCAATTTTCATCCCTTCTTCCCTCCTTTCTCTCCTTTTTTCCAAATCCTTCTTTCTTCTTGGGAACGAATGTTTTCCAAAGTTTTCTTCCGCGAGGGTATTTGAGGAAATTTTTCTTACGACCTTTTCGAAGACAGCGTGAAGAATACGATTATTCCCAAAAACTTGCTCTTTCCCCCCTCCCTCCTATCTATCATCTCCCTCCTACCTAGCAAAATATTCCAAAATCCCCATAATCCCCGGCAAAGGCAACAAAAGGCCGAAGACACAGGAAATTGCGCACAGGTGGACACGAGAGATACCCCGTTCCGGGTATCGAACAGATCTCACCTTCTCCCCCTCCCCCTTCCCCCCTCCCTCTCCTCCTCCATCCCCCGACAGTCTGCACAGGTTCTATTAGCACGTAACGCCTGGTCCTTTTGCCGTGCCGCTCAAAGCAAAGCAGCCTCCCCCCTCCTCCCCAGTCGAGTGTTACAATTTCGCCCTTCCCCCTCCCCTCCCCTCCACCCTCCCTCCGCTCCTCTCAAAGTCCCTTTATCTATCCCGCTATTTTCCTAACTCCGACGTCCCCTCCGGGCCTTTCTCCTCCGCTTTCGCGGTGACGACAACGATATTCCTCTTCCTCCCTCCTGAGGAAGCGCGCGGAGCGGTGGTGGATCCGGCCACCGGAACACCGGGTGGAGGAGTAGGGGGAGAGGGGACGCAGCTACCCCTTGGCGCGCGCGAGGGGTTGAAATGCCCGCCCATCGGTCCGCCCATGTTAGGACGAAAGCAGTCACTTGGTGAATCAATTCGGCCCCACGATCTCGCCTCGTAGAGACGAGAGAGAGATCCTCCACGGCGGCGGAGCTGCTGCCGCAATCGGGAATCGCGCTTCGAATACGAGCTTTCGATCACATTTTCGTAACCGCGCAAGAGTAACCCTCGTCGGCCGGCAACCGCGACAACCGCGGCCCTCCCCCCCCGTGGATATCATACCTCTTGGTTTCCTTGGTGCCGAAAATCGAACTTTTCCCCCCTTTTTCCTTTCGAGAGCGTCGAAAGAGAAGTTGTTAGTTGTTCTTCTCGATGAAATAAATAAAATAATTCGACGCGTTGTTTATCGTTCGTTCGCTCCGTCGTGACTGTTTCCGTTTTTCATGTGTGGACAGTGATATCTTCCTTTTCTTTTTCTTTTTTTCTTTTTCTTTCTTCGTTCGGAGAACGGTTGTTTCGGAGGGGAGAGAAGTGAGTTTAATCAACGATAGATTATTAACGATAGCGGATAGATCGAGGAGGAGGAGGGAGTGATCGATAAGAGAGCATGAGAGGGAATCGTGATGATTAACGAAGATTCCGTAAGAGAGAGATGATTGTTGGCGATAAAGTGGAGTGCGTCACTGCGAGCCGTCATCCTTGAGATACTACACAGCGGGCCTCGTCGAGTGGGTGACGGTCGGAACGAGCGAGAAGAAGAAAAAGAAGAAGAAGAGGAAGAAGAAAAAAAACCCCTCGTTATCGTTGTGGAAACAAAACTATTAGCGTAAGATAGCGCGGAATTCGCGCGGAGCTCGTGACAGTTGCCTCGTGAAAATATGTCGGGAGACGAGCACGCTTCTCGCGTCTCATCTCGTTCGGTTGCTTTCAAGCGGTGAACGTTTTCGATCAATCCATAATCCTCCTTCCCGAAAGTCGAAGAGAAGAAGAAGAAGAAGAAGAGGAAAAAGAAGAGACAAAAACGGACGCGCGTCACTACGTCATTCACACCCACGCGGACGAGTGGACACGTCGGGATGAGGAGCAGCTTGGAGCTGTTGGAACATCGTCGTGTCCCGATGGGGCCGAGAAACTGAGAGATCGAATCTTGGAATCATGTGCCCATGAAGCGATCACCGCGATGGAGCCGCGTGGGATGATGATGTCGAACCTGTCGTGCGACGGGTGCGCGGACAGCGACCGCGATTCCGACAGCAGCAGCATGATCGTGGACCCGGTGAGTTTGGACAAGAACGACCTGTCGCCGTCCCAGTCGTCGTCCAGCCCCGTGATACCCAGCTCGCCCGTCCCCCCGGCCACCGCGTCCTCCCGAAATCGCGGGGGGAGCCGCAGCAAGAAGGGCTACTCGATGATGTCGGGCGGAACGGGCAGCAAAAGGGGAACGCGGCCGGCCAGGCGTCCACCTACGGCAACGAGAAGATGTCCTCGTCCCTGATCAAGCCCCCTTACTCCTACATAGCCCTGATCACGATGGCGATCCTCCAATCGCCCCAGAAGAAGCTCACGCTGAGCGGTATATGCGAGTTCATCATGTCCCGATTCCCTTACTACCACGACAAGTTCCCCGCCTGGCAGAACTCGATCAGACACAACCTGTCGTTGAACGACTGCTTCATCAAGATACCAAGGGAGCCCGGCAACCCTGGCAAGGGTAACTACTGGACGCTGGACCCGTTGGCCGAGGATATGTTCGACAACGGGAGCTTCTTGCGCCGGAGGAAGAGGTACAAGAGGCCTCCGCCGCACTACGTGCTCAGAGACAGGGCGATCATGGCCACGTTCGCCATTTGCGGCGATCGGGGCCCCTGCCCTGGCGGGGGTGGCGGTCATCCGGGGGCCCTCGCCTATCCCAGCGCCGCGTACCTGTCCCCGCCGCCTGGCCTCCCCTTGCTCGACTTCTCGCCCTCGACCTTGGAGGCGCTCAAGCTCGGCGGCTTCCTGGAACCACCCCCGCCGTTGTACAAACCTGTGCCGATCACCGCACCGCCGATCAGACAGATCGATCCCGCACCCACGAGGACCACCGCGATACCGAGCGGCCATCCGCCGGCCGAGAAGAAGAGGAACTTCAGTATCGACGCGTTGATAGGTAAACAGGCGGCCAACGATCAGAATTGCGGCGGCTTGCTTGATCTCAGCCCGTCGGAGCACAGGGAGATCAGGAGCCAGGCGTCGGCCTTCTCTCCTCTGGTTTAGAGGATCCTGTTGCGGATCTCCTTTCGGGGAGGATATCTTACGTCGGAAAAATATGTGGGGGACCTCGGTTTTTCCCAAACGAAGAGATTCGAAGCTGGAAGACCTATTCTTTTTTTTTTTCTTTTTTTTTTTTTGGTAGGATTCGAGATGAAAAGGAAGACGAGGGAGGTGAACGAGGGAGCTCGATGAAGATCATTCAGAGAGTTGTTCATTTCCGCGAGAGAAAGAAGAGGAAAGGAGAGGAAGAGAAGGAGAAGAGGAAGTGATGAGGTTCGAAAGTGAGGAGGAACGATGAGGAAAGGATAGGGGCGCGGACGGAGCGCGCCTAAAAGATTTCGATTAAGTGTATAGAACGACGGAGAAACAGGAGGAGGAGGAGGAGGAGGAGAAAAGGAGAACAAAAGACGCGACCAGGAGTCGAGTAATTGTAAAAAGGTGTAGTGCAATAGTGTAGTGGTTGGGTTTAAGTACGAGAAGAGGAAGAAAAAGGAAAAGAAAAAGAAGAAGAAGAAGAAGAAGAAAAAGAAGAAGGAAAAAAGAAGCAACCCTTCGCTGTGTCGAACTGATCATCCTTAGCCGCTATCATCTCCAACGATCGATTCCTCTCGACGAATCGAACTTAATAATTTTCCAATCCCTCCCCCCGCCCCTCCATGTTATTTTTCTTCCATTCTTAGCAAGGAAAGGAATAGAGCTTCTTGCGCGTGTTGCCTCGTTTTGTAAACGATCGATTAATATATACGCCACTGTAAATACACACACACACACACACACATACACGTGCATACATATACGCACATTTATACACGCATAGAGAAAAAGAGAGAGAGAGAGAGGAGGAGAGACACACGCACGTACACACATCCCGAACAAATCTTTGCTCAGCTTTCTATTGTTTGCGAGTGAGAGGAGAGGAGAGAATGCGCACGAGTGAAAGGGCGACAGAGAGGGTGGCGGAGAAACGATGGAGAAGGGAGGTCAGTTCTCTTCATCGGATTTAATGTAAAGCTCGGCCGGATTTTCGGTCAAGTAGACGTTCGGTGTACATAGAAAATTCGGTGTACGTGGAAAAAGATAAAAAAAAGATAAAAAAAAAAAAGAAGAAAGAAAAAAGAAAAAAAAATATAGGAACATCCGTGTTCCGATCCGTAAAATGGGGAGGAAGGAGGGATGTTTTGATAGCGAGGGATGGATGATCAAGATATTTTATCGGTCTTATTGGTTTTCGTTTTCGCCTCGCGAAATTTGCTGGATTTGAAATCGTCGTCGTCGAAGACGAGTGGCGCGAGCTTGCAATGGAATCCATTTTGTTTCCTTGTTTTATTTATGGTGCCGATCTATGATTGGGCGGTGAAACTTTTGGAAACTTCGGACCGACTTGATATACTGTTCGAGATTTTAAATTAGAAATTGGGAAATTGAACGGTTAATTTGGAAAAATGGGAATATCGTTTCAAATTATTTTTGATTGAGAATAGAGACGAAGAGGAAATGGGAGATATAGAGAAATTTTTATCGTAAGTAACATTTTACAAAGTTTGTCTCTTTATCATTAAAAAAAAATAATCGATGTCAAAAATATTATAAAAATAATTATATTTACGATTTATTCAGCCATTTTTTTTCCATTAATTTAATAATTAGATAATTCTATAGTGCTTCGCGCTTTGATGTTTTCAGATTTTAAATGACTTGATGGAGTTGATCTTTTTATTATGTTATTTTTATCGTTTGTATATTTCTTCTTTTACGACTGGTTTAATTGTTGAAATGATTCTGAATTATGATTTTATTATTAATATCTTGAACAGTGTATAAAGTGCATAATCTCAATTTCGATAATGGATAATAACATTTTAATTTCGAGAATTAATTATATCGTGTAAAATGAATGATTTTACAGATCAAGAGAATACATAACAATATACAATTTCGTTTGAATATTATCATCGTATTGCTAGTATTATCAAATTTTTTTCTATTTATTAAATCAATTGATATTATTACAGATGTAGTTTTTAATTTTGCAATCACAACGGGTATAAATATTTAAAAAAATTTTTTCGTTTCGTTTTTCTGTTTCGAACTTGATAAAAGATCTCAAAAAAAAAAAGAAAAAAAAGAAAAAGAAAAAAGAAAAAGA